TATGATTATACATAAAAAATATATGTTGTACCTGATATATGTGCAGACACTGGAGGTTGGTGGTGGGCACCAAGGAGAACATGAAGGGGATTGCGGTGTTGTACCGGAGCCGAGACTTCAAGAAGTGGGTCAAGGCGCGCCACTCGTTGCACGCGGGACTCACAGGAATGTGGGAATGCCCCGATTTCTTCCCTGTGGCGGTGGTCGGAGGCAGCCGTCACCACCAAAGCGGTGTGGACACCGCGGAGTTGCACGACCGTGTTATGGCCGAGGAGGTCAAGTACGTGCTCAAGGTGAGTCTAGAGCTGGCACGATATGATTACTACACCGTTGGCACCTACAACCACGACAAGGAGAGGTACACCCCTGACCCCGCCTTCCCGGACAATGACTACGGCCTCCGCTACGACTATGGTGACTTCTACGCCTCCAAGTCCTTTTTCGACCCGGCCAAGAAACGACGTGTGCTCTGGGGCTGGGCCAATGAGTCCGACACCGTCCCCGACGACCTCCACAAGGGCTGGGCCGGGATCCAGGTCACTAGCTTACACTTCCACATGAAAAAAATTTATTTTTGCTACTAGTATGTTTTCTACCGTAAGTGCTGAGATCGAGATGTATTTTTGTTGCTAATTTTTTTTCAGGCGATACCAAGGAAGATCTTCCTGTCACGGAGTGGGAGGCAGCTGATCCAGTGGCCAGTGGAGGAGGTCAAGTCGCTGCGCTCAAAGCACGTCAATGTCAGCAACAAGGCTGTCAAGGGTGGCGAGCACTTCAAGGTCAGCGGCTTCAAATCCGTGCAATCGGATGTTGAGGCAGCGTTCGCGATCAAGAACCTGAACAAGGCGGAAAAGTTTGACCCGACATGGCGAACCGACGCACAAGAGCTATGCAATAAGTTCAACTCGCACGTCAAAGGTGGTGTTGGGCCGTTTGGGCTCTGGCTGCTCACCTCCGACGACCTCGAGGAGAGGACGGTTGTCTTCTTCAGGGTGTTCAAGACCAACGACACCAATTACGTCGTCCTCATGTGTAATGACCCAACAAGGTAACATATAAGATATAACTCACTCAAGTCACATTACTACATATAAGACCCAAGAATGTTGAAATGTTGGACTATCCATGCATCCAGATCCAATAATTCCCTATGATCGTTATCAAACAGGTCGTCGTATGAGTCGCAGATCTACAGGCCGACCTTTGCGGGCTTCGTCAATGTCGACATAGCCAAGACCAAGAAGATCGCCCTCAGGACATTGGTACGTAACTAACCACATGACCAATCATCAAAGTATGCTCTGATTAATATCTATGTCACCGTTGCAAGAGGGTACTAAGCCATGTCACAAACTTCATTTCAGATTGACCATTCTGTGGTGGAGAGCTTCGGGGCCGGCGGAAAGACGTGCATCCTGACGAGGGTTTACCCGAGGAAGGCCATCGGGGACGACGCGCACCTCTTCGTCTTCAACAACGGCGAGTCGGACATCAAGGTCACCAAACTGCACGCGTGGGAGATGAAGACCCCCACGATGAACAAGCTGCTGGAGCAGTAGCAGCGGCCTAGAGGATCGAGGAGTAGAAGTAGCCTATCCTAGCCATAGCTAGCTAGCTTATTAGTTTCGCTGAGATGGATCAATTAGGAGAGGCTGAAGTTAAAAATGTAGTTGTACACTTGCTGCCCACGGAAACATGGGAATGAATAAAGGTTTTAGTGGATGAGTCCATTTTCACCTTGAAGAATTGCAGATCAGTTTATGTCCCTTTTTGTTCGACAAGCTGCTGCTGAACTTCCAGTTAAATATCTCCAAGAGATTTCTAGTTTGTTTTGACATGCACATTTTCTAAGGTGTTATTTTGATGTACATATGTTATTTAATTGTCAATTAAGAAAACTACATTTTTGCTCTTCTCGTCCTGGCTGCAAGCTGAGATGTAACTAAACCAGCAATAGGTTGAAATTTGTGAGAGCAACTGTAACGTAAAATTTCTGTGGAGTATGTGGTTTGGTACATGGCGGCTGGAGCTATATGAAGGTTGAACATCATCAGTTATTAGTGCTACTTACTTGAAGCTCCGGCCTTGACCATAACCTGATAATAATGTTGTACGAGCATAATAATATCCTCAGTTGAGCAACAAAGTACTCATAAGAGCAACTAAGTGCTATTTCCGTGGTTCGGATAAAATATGATACACACTAGGACTGATGTGAACCCTTTTTTTTGAGAATGCCATTGCCATCTTGAAAGTCCTTTGAGCATTGTTAAGTCCATGTTAAAAAACTAAGAAGATTATCTCAGAGAAAATATGAGTTAACTATGAAGACAAAATGTGACTGCTGAGAAGTAGATGAGGATGCGTGACTTTGAATATTCTCTATCCTGGGCCACCCCGAGTCCTTCCTCGACTCACCTGCAAGTATACCTGGTCATCTCCCGGGCCGGGCTTCGGGCGGGGCCTGCCAAAGCCCGAGGCAAAAAACCTAGGCCCGAGCCCAGCCTGGCCACCGGGCCTTGTTTTTGGGCCCAAGCCCGGCCTGAAAGTGATAAAGCCCATTGGGTCTTGGGCCATGGGCTGGGCCCCTTGAGTAAACCGCGAAAACGATGGGCCTGGGCCCAGCCCGGTCTTCGGGCTCAAAATCTAGGCTCGGGCCCGGCCCTGGTACATCGTCAGGTCAGGCTTTTTTGGGCCGGATCGGGTCGGGCCGTTTGAGCTGGGGGTGTCCATGGCCAGGGTACCTGCAAGGAAGCAATTCAAGTCACTCACAAAAAAGGAAGCAATTCAAGTCACTCACACCTATCTGGCAATTTCAAAGTATCCATTCAAATTTTCTATGATCAAGCCACAATCTTCAAGTCATTCATAACCGTGGACACAACTATTTAAATAGGTTTAAACCTTGGAGGGATGCACCAAGTTACCCATGCATGCACACTAGTCTCTTAACGTCACATGACACCCTTCCCTTGGGATGTTAAAAGAGTATGACCGACAAGACACTTCGCCTACACTGCAAACCAGTCCAGGGAGTCACCCATCTGAGTTGATTCTGTCTGAATTACCGAAACGGACCTGACTGTTGTGAGCATAGCCCAGGACCATCCCGCAAGATAACCACTTGGTCGTGCCACATTCCTACCATGCCATGTCAACATATAAATAGAAAGGGGAAGCGCGGAGGAAATCACCATTTCCTCGCCGGCCTCTTCCCCTTCCAGTTGTCGGCGCGGCTGTGCCCCTTCTCCATGTAGGCGTCGGCGTGTGGAGGTGCGTCGTTGTCAGAGCTGGAGGTGGAGCCATCCGTCACGTCGGAGTTGCACCTTTTGCCCGACAGCCTGTGGAGCAGGCGGTCCTGCTCCTTCGCATTATGGGCCGCCTTCGCCTTTGCCGCCGTCTCCTTGTTTGCCTCGCGCTCCGACAACTCGATGGTGGGTCGGAGCACCTTGGCATTCTTGCAGCGGAGGTGCCGCACATCTGTCTCCGCCATCGTGAGAGAGCGGCGGAGGACCAACGCTAGGAGTGCGGCCTCGAAATCGACCGACAGACGGAGAACGCCTCCCCCGCCGATGTCCTCTCCCTCGCCCACTGCCGCCCGCACCAGGCTACATGTGCCTCAGACTCGGGCGTCCTCGTGCGCTCCGGCCCCGGTGTGGGCACGAGGACCCAGAGGTGCCTCGGTACAACTTCCAGACTAGAGGGTGGTGGAAGTGGGCGGCGTACCTGAAGGAGCGGAGCAGAGCTGCGCGCCAACCAGAAGGGCTGACGACGTCGCCGATGCTGCGTCGATGGATGACGGGCGTCGAGGAAGAAGATCCGCCGCTGACGGGGCCGCCTCGCTTGAGCAGCGACCTCCTCTAGGCGATGCGGAGGACCACCTCCTCCACATTGATGTTCGAGCCGTCAGATTCTGCACCGGAGCCACCGCTACTTCCGTCGCCGGCCATCGGATCGGAGGGAAGGGGATCAGAAGTGGAGTGGATGAAGAGGGGAGTGAAGTGGTGTTTGGATTGACCGATGTCTATAGTTTTTCAGATGGGGATATTTGTGGGGCACGGGTCGGCCAGGCTGGGCGAAGCCGACGTGGCGGATGCGCCCGGTCCACCTCATATCCACCTCATATTATGGACTAGATATGAGGGGCGCCGAATGAGGAAGTCCTGGATTATGGGGTCCTCGGGGAGCCGGCCTATGTGACATGGGCCGGACTGACGGGCCATGAAGATACAAGACGGAAGGCCTTCTCCCGAGATGGGCCGGACTGACGGGCCGGATGGGACTTTCCTTTGCGTGGATGGCAAGCTTGGCGTCCGGATGTGTAGTTTCCTTCCTCTATAAACCGACTTTGTACAACCCTAATCTCCTCCGGTGCCTATATAAACCAGAGAGGTTAGTCCGTAGAGATAATCATAATCATACAGGCTAGACATTTAGGGTTTAGCCATTACGATCTCGAGGTAGATCAACTCTTGTAACCCCTTACTCATCAAAGTCAATCAAGCAGGAAGTAGGGTATTACCTCCATTAAGAGGGCCCGAACCTGGGTAAACATCGTGTCCCCTGCCTCCTGTTACCTTTGATCCTTAGACGCACAGTTCGGGACCCCCTACCCGAGATCTGCTGGTTTTGACACCGACATTGGTACTTTCATTGAGAGTTCCTCTGTACCGTACACAGAAGGGTTGATGGCTCGCCTTGTCATCAAGGACAGTATCACTTCCAAAGAAGCCCTAGCTTCAGGGCAAACCCTCCGGCTTGGCAGCTCACCATGGGCGCTCGTTCGGACGTTAAGCCAAAGTCAGCCCAGCCTGTCACCAAAAATCATCTCCACGTCGGCCCCGTATACTCTGACAAGATGGATCCGACAGATGTATCGACCTTAAACGAACTGCTAGATCGCATCGCTGCCCTGGGGGTCGCAACTGACTATGATCGGATTGGGCTTAAACCCGATCAGAGAGAAATCAAATCTCCACCGATCACCCATCAGGCGGCACTTGTGGAGGAACAAGCTGACAATAACTCTTCTCCTACGTTGAGAACAAAGTATGTTCGGATTTCCGAGCTTGGAGAGCCGGACACCCATCGTCGGGAGGACACTTCCTGTCCTCCGAACATAGAATCGGGCTTTGAGCCTGAGAACTCACCGGACACTCCGGAGCCTGGGCTAGTAACCTTGGAAGTTCTTCAAACTCCAAACTCCACAATGGGCCAGGGTTCGAATTTAACCCCACCCACCCACCACAAGCAATATTCCCCAAGAAATTCCGGTCCTTCGGATATATGCGACCTAATGTATGTGCGGTAGCAGCCTCAGGAAACAGTCCATCACTTCTGGGCCAGATTCCTCCTTGTTAAAAATAAGATCAAAGATTGCTTGCTAGGGTTTAACCCTAGCATATATAGCGCCTCCCTCGCTGCCGCCGCGAAGCGGGTGTTGGTGACCTCCTATTGCGCGACGGTAGCAACGGCGTTCGCTGTGATGGCTTCGTCCCTCCCGTCTGCCGCGTGCCTCCTGCTCTTTCTCTTCGCCGACTCCCTTGCCCGTTGTTCGGGTGTCGGCATCTTCTTTGGCTT